TCTCCCAATGTACTTCCTTTCTGGATTACAGCATAAGGACCAACCGAAGAGTTTCGGCTGATTCTAATGGCTTGGAAGCTCAAGATTCCATTCTTCACCTCATGGCTTTGAACCAATGCCCCTTCTGCAATCACAGCTCCATCTCCAATTGAAACTAGAGATGGATCTGTGATGTCGATTGTATCAAGCAAGACTGAAGATCCAATTTTAGCTCCAAGCATCTCAAACCAATAATTAAGGAACACAGTTCCTCTCAAATGCTCTGCAAAAACTTTGGAAGAGATTTCGTGGGCCTTATAGAGTGCCCACCACTTGACAAAGTCGGTTGACCAGATAGATACTTCAGGGGTCAGGGCATAGTTTGGCTTCAAGAAAGAATTCCCCAAGAAAGCAATGCAAGAGCAAGTAGAAATGATGCAAAGGATCCAAGCAAGAGGAGCCAATGCCAAGGAAATAAAATAATTCCACCAGGGAAATCCCTCATTTAGTGTAGGACTCGCTGAAACCAAACTTGTGAAAGCTGAAACTGAAAAATAAGCAGGAAAGCTCAGCATGGCACAGACATAAACAAGGGCAAGAAGTTGGAAAAACCAGATGCCAATTAGGCGAGTCTCGGAAATTTCTGCGTCAAACTCAGCAGAATCAATGTCAGGTTCTGGGAGATCGGATTGAGAGTTCAAGAGCTGAGGGTTAGACTTCATCACAAGATTCTCCGAGAAGCTTGCCAGGTCTGAAATGCAGGTGGCAGTGAAGATGTCGACTGCACCAATGGGCACTTCGAGGAAATCTGAAAGTTTTTGAGCTGCTCTGACCACACCAATTGAGTCAATTCCATAAGATACTAGATTCTCAGTGGCGGAAATATTCTTGATAGGAACTCCTGTTTGCTCAGAAACAAGCCCCTTCAGAAATTCTACAATTTCTTTATTGCTGAATTTGGCAGTTAGAATAGGAGAGCTAGCATGCTGAGCTCGAGGAGTCATTCCCACTTTACATGTCCCGGTGGTGAATGACCGACGCAATTTTCTTTTCGAAAAAATCGGCTCTGGCACTGTGTTTAGAGTTCCATCAGTATAATGTTTAAGGCATTCGAATCTCTTTATTTTACCTGATGTTGTTTTGCTGATAGTCCTGGGCCTGATCAGCTTGATAGAAGCCACGGTCACGCCATGTTCTTCTGCTACACGATTCTTAATATTCTCCACAACATCCTTACCAACAGGCTTACCATCTCTAACTTCTGCAATGACAACCAAGCCAACCTGGTCAGAACTATCAGGAAGTGAAATCCCTTTTGATGACAAGACTTCCTCAGGAACACCAACGACAGCACAGCAACCTGGGCGTAGAAGCTCGGATGCACTCTCTACTGTTTTTTCCACATCTGCAGAGTAAATATTCCTTCCGGCTACAATAATCAGATCCTTGATTCTTCCAGTGATGAACAATTTCCCATCAATAATGCGTCCCAAGTCTCCGGTTCTGGTATATTTTCTTCCTGGATGATTTTGAAGCACATTTCTGAAAGTTCTTTGGCTAAGTTCCTCCCTGCCCCAGTACCCAATTCCGGCACTCGGACTACTAATCCATATCTCTCCTTCCTTTCCAGATTCTCTAAGTTCTTCACTTGTCTCTGGATCGACTATTCGGATGTCAGCATCTTCATCATTTGGTTCCACATACCCACAACAGACTCGTCCTTGCCAGTCTACCATTATGGGCTTACCTTCTCCATATGCACAGCTGACAAACACACAATTCTCGGCCAAGCCATAACCAGGAGCCATTACTTCTTCAGATAGACCAAAAGGTCTTGTGAGCTCAACAAATCTTTTCACAGTTCTCTGCCTCACTGGTTCAGCAGCAACCATGAGGAAAGCCAAAGAAGAAAGGTCATAGTTGCGAACCTTATCCTTGTCAGCATACTCCAATCTTCGTATTACCAGCTCAAATGCGAAGTTGGGACCAGCACTGTGAGTAGCATGGTATTTGCTCATGGTCTGAAGCCATAAAAGTGGATTCTTGATAAAAGCCATTGGAGAAAACAAAATTGCTGATCCACCACTAACTAGAGCAGTAAAAATTCCACCAATTAGCCCCATGTCATGATATTGCGGAAGCCAGCTGACTAGTACCGTCTTTGAGGTGCTTTTATACCTCCTCTTCATCAACTTCACATTGTGAATAAGACCACCATGAGTTATCATTACACCTTTAGCATCACCAGTGGACCCTGATGTGAATTGCAGAAAACATAAATCATCTGGCTGAGATTCAGATTGACATGACACATTTTCTGGAGTGAAGTCTTTGGAGTCCTTGAGCCAAGAATCTGTATGCAACCATGGAAGGTTCGGCCAGCGACCCGAAGATTTCCCATTTTTTACTGCCAATGAGAGTAGGTTCTTCACAGAACCTGCTCGAACTGCTGAGTGATAAAGGAGGGTTGACAGAATTGCTACTGCATTGCAAGATTTAGCAATGCTTTCAATCTTCATTAGTGCTTGCCCCCCTCTTTGAAGAGGATCTGGTGGGAGGACTGGGACAGGTAGGACCCTGGCTCTTAAGCACCCAAAAAAGGCATCAACAAAGTCCAGCCCTGGCACATAGACTAGAAGGACCCGGTCACCGGGCCTGATGACTGGTTTTCGGCTGCTCAAGAGTTTATGAGCAATGCAGGAAGCTTTGGCATGAAGTTCTGCATAAGTCCTCTGGCACACACCTGTACCATCTTCACCAATCCAAGTATAGAGTGTCTTGTCCTTTGTCAGACTATGAGTTCCCCAGTGTTTCAAGTAACCATCAAGGCTAGAAAGCTCAGGAAACTCCACTCCTTCACCTAGTTTTTTTGGGCTTCTATCGCAGCAATCCGATTTCAAAGAAAACAAACTCTGCGATGTCACCAGCAATGAGTAAGTTTTTTTGTTTCAACCTATTAAATTCAAGCATCATTGGATTCACTTATCCAATTATCACTAAAAACTTGACAATGTCACATTACCTTAACATATGGGAACATAGGTACAGAGTTGTTATTTGCGAAATGCTTGCAGATAAGAGCCATGGCATAAGATGAATTTCTCTCTGTGAGTTCAAATGCCACAAGGCCACCAACATAGAAAGTGTTCCTCTGGCCTTGAAGCTCAGACTCCAGTTTGTCATAGAATCCATCCTTCATGTCTGTTTTGAAATTAAAACAAAAACAATGAATGAATTTGGATCCCTATCTGGTTTCGTTTGATGGTGTAGGAACAGTTTGTCGAGCATACCTTGGCTACCAACATGGGGGAAGTACTTGAATCTTCTTTGGAGAACTACTTCCTGAACTTCTGCCCCCATGGACATGACCACTTTTTTGGCAAGACAAGTGACAGTCGGTCCCTTTATATCGAAAGAGTTTCCATAGGACCAAAATAAGAAAATATCAGTGTCAGCATAGAATTTCTGCATCGCAACGGGATTTCCAATTGTTGCAGGATCATCCATATATTCACCAAAGTAATAAAAGCCAACTGGCATATCTTCTAGCCCTTTAATCTTTAAAACAGTGGTGTAGTAGTCAATTGTCTGAACTTTGCTGAACAAATCTCTTTCAACTTCACTGAGATCCATCATTTCAGTCTCAGATTCTGCAACAAGAATATATACCTGGTTAACCATTTCCTGAAGAGAGAGGAAAGAAGAGTAGACAACTAGAGGGGAAAAAAAAAAAAAAAAAATTCAAGAAACCTGTAGAATTTTCTGCTGGAAATTTGTAAGTTTTTCCACTTCTGAATGGAAATGAACCAGAGATAATAATTTTATCGAACTCCATTTCTTGGACTTCTCCATTGCTTCTTTTAACATCAACACTAACACTGTCAGACCTGCGCCTGACAGCCATTACATCAGTTTCGCAATGAACGCTAATTGGAAGTGATCCACTGATCTTCCGCCAAAGGCTAGTATATCCACCTTTGAAACGCCGAATCTTTCCAGCCATGGAAGTCCGAGTGAACTCATGAATGTATGCATAAGGCATATCTTGAACAAATCCATAACCAGAAGCAGTGTATCCATAAGCCACAGATTTGGGAACAGATTTGAATCCACGACTCTCGAGATACGTGGGAGTCAAGTCTGAAGCTAATTCACTCACAGCATGGACTCCAATTCGACCAGAATCCTTTGTCTTATCCTGCAAAAAAAGGAAATGGAAATTGAAACTGATCTCATTTCTGCAATATCAAGCAAAAATTATGGTTGCACAGGAAATTGACCAACCTGTAGTTCTAAGGTCAGTGCGATTACAGACACATAATCATCTGCAATTTTAATGTCCTGATACTTCCCTGTAGAGCCATCAATTAGAGAAAGCTTATGGGAGTCCATTTCCTCTAATTCTGATCCAACTTCTTTCGCCATGTGAAAAATGACAGGTGCACTGTTCTTAGCAAGAACTTGACCACCTAGATCATAAACCCTTCCTGTAGATAGTGGAACAGATATAATCAATTTACTTCGTGATACAAAGTTTACAGAAACACTTCTTTTCTTCTCATCCCGTCATCATGTACCTTCAATGTCGATTGATTCGCACATGCCACCCACACTGCGATGCTTCTCTAACACTGTGACATTCTGATAACCAAGCTTTGCCAATGCATAAGCGGCCGATATGCCACTTGGGCCACCTCCTACTATTCCAATTCTTGTGTTCACAGGCAGGCATGGATGTAGTTTGCTAAATTGATCTTCAATTGATACTGACGGGTCCATCTTTTCTGGAGTTTATACCTCCGACTTGCAATGCCTGCTGAAAAGGGCAATGAAGTGAGTCCAACTTCTATCTATTTATAACTCTCTAATTTTGGAAACCACTGCTCAAGGGTATCTATGAATACTTCAAAATCGTGAATTCTAGGGGATCTTTTTCATGCCTTCTTGTATGTTTTTGTTAAAAATAAGAGTTTAAACCCTTTTAACTTCTTTCCCTTTAAGACAGAAAGAAAAATAGAAACTTATGTGTCATTTTCTTCAGACGTTCCAAACAAAGCTTCCAATGATTTAGCTGATTCCTGCTGCTGATACATACGAGAAGACATAAAAGGCAGAATGGCCAAAACATAAAAAAAAATTATCATATTTTTGAAATCCCATTATTAGCAATAGCTAGAGCTATATCATCATGCCTAAACTGAATGTGAACAGAAGGGCCTAAAGACTTCTTAGGAAGGGGCTAAGAACAGGAATATGGTCCAAACTCCAATCCACCCAACAAGCTAAGAGAACTTGGATGAAATGCATGGGTAGGATAGGTAAGGAGAAAGCAAAGGAGAACTGGGAAAACATGAAACACCAAATATTGCTTGAGACTTAAGAGAAACAAACCTTGGAGACAAAACCAAAGCACCTGTACCACCACAGCTTGTTAAGAAACAGCACAAGCCAAAACTAAATGCAAAAACCTCTCACATTTTTCTCATCCTCAACATGATCCCAAACATAAGCATTCTCACAAAGCAAAAGAAAAAACAAGAAAACATCATAATCCCATCCTTTTCCTCTCTCTCTTTCAAACCCTTCTGCTTTCTCATCGAGCTTGAAAGCAATGACAAATAATGCAAATGTGAAATGTGAAATGTGATGTTCAAGCTTAAGCAGTACAGTAAGTAACTAACCTTAGAGTTGAAATGGGCAAAAGGGTGTTGAGTTTGCTGCCAAGTGGCAAGAAACAAAGGCAAAACACACTCAAAAAATTCCTGAGCCGATTCACCACATGGAGAGAATGCTGATCTCATGCCCTTAAAAGTATTTAAACTGAAGAGATTCCTTAAACTTCCATCAGGACCGGACAAAATTATACTATTTCCTTTCTCTTGGTAACTCCGAGAATTCCAATTACAAATATTCCCTTTGTATGCCTCGATTATTCTAGTTTTATTCTTACAATTTACGCAGGGAACTCCGTCTTAGAAAGAATAACATGTAATACGTGGAAAGCTCTCACATTGTATATGTAAACATTTTGTTAACCCAAAAGCTCTTTGCCGGCATACTCCAAGCAAGTAAATTGACTTCTCTATCACATACTGGTAAATCCGAGTTATTGGTAAAACCGTGGGCTTAATTCTGATGGTTTTGGAGTTTTGTTCTCTTTTTCGCTAAAGGGATTCAAACTTCTTTTTCGAGAAATAAAATTCTTATGAATTTTCTACATGATTTATGACTGTTTGTCTTCAATGAGAATAAATAAATGGATTTTTTTTTTAAAAAAAATTACTATGATCTGTGCATGAAGATCAATGGAATTAACCGAAAGTGGCTATAAAACAATCAAGTTGGATTTGAGGAAGCAAAAGGAAAGGTAGTCCTGACAAGATTCGTTGCCATGTGGATGCAATTAAAGGTGGATTTAGCAAAACCCAACTACGTGAGATAAACTGTTTATTTTTCAATTGTTTGACGAGTAAAGTATGAATTAGCCCTTTTAGTTTGTAGAAATGAATTTATTAGTCTTTTTTGTTCAAAAATTAATTATTTAATTTTATATTTTCAGATTTTCTTGTAAATTAATATTTTTTTTGTTCTTTTTTAATTTATTTTTATTTTTTATTTCAATAGATAGAAAAAAAAATTAAGTAAAAATATGAAAGTATTGATGAAACAACACATATTTCAAAATGAAATAATATTAAATTAAACGTGATTAATATTGGTCAATAAACTAAATAATCAATATTTAAAAGAAAAATAACTAACTAATTTGTGTTTCAAAACTAGAAGGACTAATTTATAATTTACTCATTTTTCAAAATTAGAAGGATTAATTTATAGTTTGCTCATGAGAAAGGATATACTGTGGCATTTATTTATTTATTTATTGGGTATACCACGTTCTTGATTTTATATGGCAAGGATATAGAATATGCTCGGATCTAAGAAATCTTCAGATTAGAAGTAGCGACATGAACTTGCAATGCCCTCCCTTGCCTGCTGCTGATTCTTGTTTGGGGTTTTGGAAACAACATGAATGTAGGGCTGTGGATGAGTCCAAACCCAATGAAGCTAATTTAATGTTTAATAATTTGATTTGCACAACTTTTCTTTCCAAAATTACAATTCAAAAAATTTCATACATTGAGTGAATCTCATTTGTTGTTGGAAATTTTTCTCAATGTTCAATTGTGCGAAGATGATTTCGATAAGTTTAGCATTACATTTTTAAATTATCAGTTACAAAATTGACCTTTTGAGTTTAAATTTTAAAGTTGGTATTTAGAGAAATTTATAAATTTCTCTTAATACATTAGACCGATGTAGAAAATGCATCTCTAATATCGTTTTGACAAGGTTTAGTTTCGATTGATATATAAATTGATCCGAGAATATCTTTATGAATATCTTTATAAAATAATAGAAAAAAAGTATAGAGAAATGTAATGACTAATGCTAAAAGCATATACTTAAGCAGTTTAGCCTGAGTTAATAACTAAGTTACAAATGCTTCAATATATATATATATATATATATATATCCTGTCTAAGTCACTTGTTGTTTAATCAGTGACTAGTTAATGGGATCAAAATCTCCTCTTTTTTTTTCTTTTTTTTTTTTTTTTGCTACAATCAATGAAACAGAATGACCTTAGCTAGCCGAATTAACAGCCAAAAGGTCACATACAAGATGATAAGATAGGCAATTTCAAAGCATGCAGTCTAGCTATCATTTTCTCAAGGTAGGTAGCAATTGTTTTTGTTGGCCTCCATCAGCTTCTACTGCTCTTGAATCCTCATCAGTTCTATTTCAAGAACAAGTGGGAATAGAATTAATTGGTAAGCTGTATTTACATTAATTAATATTACGATATAATTGGTGATGTATATATAAGTTCTTCCCCAGTAAAAAATGTTATTTATATATAAAAATTAATGGTTTACTCTGGTAATTTTTTAATTTGTAATTATATTTCTAATTGAGTCAATTTTTTTCTTTGAATGTACATTAAGTTTATAATCTATCTTTTTTACAAGATCTTCAAATAAAACTATTGAAATTAATCACGTAATTTGTTCATGATTATTTTTTATTTTTCAGAATATCCTTACAAGTCAAGCAAATGAAAGGCTTTCATGTTAAAATCAATAATGAATTTCAATGGTTTAGTCTAAAAATTTTGACAAAATAATAAATTAGAAACTTAACGTGAATTTAATGACAAAATTGACTCAGTTAAAGAGAATTACTGTGCTACGTAACCACAAATTGAGACATGAATCTCATGTATAATCTGTTTGACAAGATGTAACAAAAACCAAAAATGTATAGTATCTGATGTTTGGTTAAATCAACCCCTATACTTGAAATTAAGTAAAATCGACCCTTCTACTTCCAATTAAAAGTGATTTGAGTCCTCTTTGTCCAATATTGTTATGGCTTAAGGCACGATGAATGCCATGTTTTGTGGTGGAATAATTGGAATGAGGTCCGCAGATAGTCTCTAATTGAAAAAAGAGGAGTTAATTTGACCAAATTTAAAGCATAGGGGTTGATTTGATGAACTATCTAAAGTGAATGGACCAGACATGTTCTATTTTTTTTTTTTTTCCAAACTAAATAGTCCTAATATAAAATTCACAATGTGACCAAATTGCATACGAAATGTGTTTGAGCTTGGACCCATATCCTTTTATTTTATGCTTAATTGTGTAAAATCAAGTCACCCATTTTTTGAATTTTATTTTATTTTATTTAACAAGAAAAAAAATTCAGAGTTTAAATTGTTTAGAAGTTATGCTACGTACTTGTAACGAGTACATTGAAATTGAATAAACAAGGAATTAAAAATAAAATCTTAGTCCCTGCAGGCCCTTCGGTAAAAATAAAAAAATAAAAAAATTTGAGAAAATTGCATGTTATATCACCAACAATTATAGATGGAGCGACAAAAAAAAAAAATGTTTCTAATTTACCAGGTCAAAGATTTAATTTTCATTCTTGAAAAGCTCATTCTTTTTATTTGTGACATTGAATATGGATCATTTGTGGACAAAAAAGAGTTTAATATCTAAAATTGACACAAGATTAGGCGTGATTTAACTCTAACCTAGCATATAAAGTAGCGATTTAGTTTTGATTAATATAAAAATTGGATTCTGTTCTTGTTTTTTGAAAAACTCTTTCCTCTTATTTGTGTGTCACTAAATATGTGCTGTTTGTGGACTTAAAAAGTCCAATATCTAATATCAGACTCAAAGTTAGACCTAATCCTACACTTACGTAACCTAGAAAATAGAGATCTATTTCTATTGAAGTAAAAAATTGTCCAAAAATACTATAAAACCATTAATTTTATTAAATAAATAAATAACACAAGTATAATTTATTTATTTTTTAACTCACACACTTAAGATTTCTAATAGAACTAATATATTAAAATTTAAATTCATGATATCTTGTAAGAAATCAGTATCTTTGGACTACAAGTATAACATTTCCGACTGCTTTCAAGTCAACTGCTGATGGATCTCTGGTTTCTCAATCTATATAATGGATGGACTTTGAGGACATTGGATTGATATGTAGTGCAAGCGGAGAAGTGCCATGGCCACACTTTGTCTTTGCTGGCATTGGTTTGTGAAAGATAGCAATATTACCATAATAATAGTTGCTACTTTAGTGTTGCAGATCTTTAGAATTTTATGATGTCTTAGGACAATTAAAGGGAAAGCTTAGCTTTAAGATCAAACAACAGTTTGGAGAGAATAATAGATAGAGGTAGAGCATTGGCCTAAGAGCAGGGTCAGCTCCAACACAGGAAGGAGACAGAACAAACAAAGCAAGCCTGTGGATCAAGAAACAGCAGCAGCAATCCTCCACACAGCATTTGATTTCCTTTTGAAAATGCCCGGCCCATATGTTGACATGAAGATCTCAGCCAGTAGAGGAAATTGCCAGAACATGAAGAGAGTGACAGGAAGACAAGCAAGCAAAACAATTGGAACGATAACCTCCATCATTCCATTTAACATAACTACAAGAGCTGCACTGAAGGCAACCATCATAGCTGCGACAGAAATGAAAAATGTGGAAAGGCCTATCATCAACTTCCTGGGCAAGGTAATCAGAAAATCTTGCTCTGGATAACGAGCTGTGAGGATTTCCAAGAACATCAACACCGAAGTAGACGAAGCAAAGAGAGAAATTGCATCTGATATTATAAAAGTCATGAAAGCCTTCTTATGCAAGACTACATGATTGATGCCGGTGTCTTGAATATTACCACCCGGAACTGTAAATGCTGCAGCAAACATAATTGTAATGATAAAGGCACCCACCACCGCATAAGAAATTGCCGTGCCCTTCATCCATTCCTCCCCTTCTGTCACCAACTGCTTGTGATTCTTAGAAAATACTTGGCCAGGTGTTTCGCCCGAATGGTTGCGAGCAAATTTAGCTGCAGGGGTAATGATGCTTTCCACTTCCTGTAGAAAAATCATTTAGCTTAAAATCCAAGCATACATCATTTTAGAGCATAGAAAATTTGTGACAACTAGAATATATATATATATATGGCTTGAGGAGATCACCTTATACCACTGTAGTTCTCGTTGCATTTGAAGAGCTGCGTTTGAGATTCGACTCAATTGAGTGGAAGGTGAAAGCTTTCCAGCCAAATGCAACATTGTATTGCCAGATTTATCCAGAACATAACTATGCCTAGCTAACCCATATAAAAGGTTAAAAACCTTATCTTGTCGATGTACAATTGAGGACATAACCATACTTCGTCCCTTCAGGTCACTAGCATACAAACAGGAAGGAGAAATTTCAATTGTCGCTGAAACAAACTCAACAAAGCCAAGCTCAACTGCTTTTATAAAGGCTCCAGGTAGTCCAATCCGACTGAGGGTACGTTCATCCAATGTTGATAAATGTTCACACATACATTGTAGAAGTCTAGTAGAACTGGCATGGATCATCTTCAAATCATATATTTTCATGATTTCTACAATTGAAAACCAAAATCAGAATAAAATGATGCTGATGATAATAGGAGAAAATGATCTTGATATTAGACGCATTACCTGAGAATTTAAGGAAATTTATACAAAGTTTGCACCATTTACCTAACACTGCAAAACATAGGGCAAAATGATTAAAAACAACTTTGCCAGCAATGACTGGTCGAACAGGTATACCTTTGCCAGTTTAAACAAACATTCATACGTACCCTGTTTCAGAATGATCTTGTTTTGATCGAAAATATAGGCACGAACACCTTTGCCATCAATGAGTGGTCGAACAGGTGTACCTTTCACAAAAAAGTTGATTTCTCTGAGTGTTTATACTATAAAGACGAAAAAAAAATGTTAAAGGATATATACTTACAGGAATAAATCAATCGTTGCCAAAATCCAAGATGGCATCCACTTGGAAATAATTCTGGTGATGCTGCCAACAATGCCCATAAAGCAGTTCTATGATAGACAGTGCTTGCAGCAGTAGCTAAACTAGGACAACGGTAGAGTATTTCCAAAGCAATATCTGGTATTATATTATGCAATAATAATAGAAGAAACAGGCATGATGAGCAAGATAGCATTCAACTGGCTTATGTATATATGGTGTTAAACAGTGCAGATATTACCTAACATTTTTGATGTTATAGCATGTTGGAGGAGTAAAGATCCATGGATGCCATTTTGATATTGAGACAGCAGTTCAAAAGGAGTTACTGAGAAAAGATAGACAGTTGTATCCCTATGGTTATTTGCACAAGCCGCTACAATCGGGATCCATTGGCATTTACTTGTAATGGCAACTAAGGTTTCATCCTTTTCAACCATATACCTGGCCATTTTAGCGATTCCTCGGCTAGCAGCATGATGAAGGGCTGTGTAACCGCTGCCATCCTGTATTGCCAAGGCTTCTTTTGACATTAACTCCACCAACTTTCTTCCAATTTCCACATTTCCAGCAAGAGTAGCTATGTGAAGGGCAGTGTGGCCAAAGGATGTAATCTTCGCATTTACTACGCCTGGATGTCGGACAAGAAAGCTTCTCGTGGAATGCCAATCACCTCTATATACAGAATTTGCTAGGCCAGCAAATTGAAAATTTTCATCCTTAACAACTCCTGTTAAAGTTATTTTTCTTTTATATTAACATGTTGCTATTTGTAGTAAAAAAAATGCTGATCAAAACTTTAAAATACTGCCAGAAAATGTTAATATTGCTGTGAGGCCTCATCCTGTGGCAAAAATTTTAACATGGTCATATCAATATGTAACATATAACTTCATGCTTTCATTAATTACCTGGTCCATTGTGTTGTAATGATGCCAATGGCTCTTGTTTTATGTTCGAAGAGACAGGATCTGTGTCAGAAAATGTTAATTAATATTGCTGTGAGGCTTCATTCTCTGTCAAAATTGTGAGCATGTTTATGTATATAGACATAACATACAACATCATGCTTGCATTTGAATGTCAGTGTCAGAAGAATAATTAAGAGACGGAGTTTGTTCGAAAATTACCAGCACCGTTGCTTTGTGATGATGCCAATGGCTCTTGTTTTTTTCCCGAAGAAACAAAGACTGCGTCAGAAAATGTTAATTAATATTGCTGTGATCTTCATTCTCAGGCAAAATTGTGAGCAGGTTTATATATAGACATAACATATAACTTCATGATTGCAAATATTTGAATGTCAGTGTGTTTGAAAATTACCAGCTCCATTGCGCTGTGATGATGTCAATGGCTCTTGTTTTTTGTCCGAAGACGCGGAGTCTGTTCGAAAATTAGCGGCGCCCGTGCTTTGTGATGATGCAAATGGCTCTCTTTTTTTGTCTGCAGAGACAGAGTCTGTGTCAGAAAAGTCGGAGTCGGAGTCTGTGTCTGTGTCAGAAGTTGGAATGTCGCCGGCATTCTTGCCTTGCGATACTGGCAATCTCTTTCTCAACGAATTGGCCAAATTATCCCAAACAGTTTTGGCTGAATCGGTGCTTTCAATCCTACGAAATATATATGGCCTACACGAAATTTGAATGGCATGTAAAGCTGTGGCATTTTTCTTCCTCCAAACCTTATATTCCGCTTCATCATGAGGAGGAGGTTCGGTGCTGCTATTCGGCCCTTCAATAATGTCCCAGAGATCATGAGCCAACAGATAGTTTTTCATACAGCCACTCCAACTATCATAGTTACCATCTCTCAGCTCTTCAGGAACAATTGCACTTGCCATGTATATATTTGTAATCTATCAATAGAAAATTCCAAATTCTATTCAGATTTCAGACAGTGGATTGTGACGAATGACAATTACTGCGCACATAGAAGGTGTAGCTAGCTAGAAAAACACATTACAAAAAACTACACACAAAAATCTGCACAAAAATATACCACACCCATTCTCTTCAACAAGAGAAAAACCCATTACTAAAAAAAAATACAGCAACCATACTTTTTTTTTCCTTGAATGAAGCAGCCATTTGCAAAAATAATATATATCAGTAGAATAAGCAAGATGGCAGAATCGAATAGAGTTGAGAAATAGCCTATGGATACCGTTTTATACACTCTGAATTAAAGAATCAGTGGAAGTGGATTTGAAAAAAGGAAAAAAGCATTAAAACAGACAGATAAATAAAAGCAAAATTAAGGAGCTACAGTTCAAAAGTTGCAAAATAAATAAATGAAAATGTAAGGTATGTACCTTTGATTTGAGCGACAAAGTGAGTGCCGATCTCAAACTCTAAAACAGTACAAATGGCTTCAGCAAGTGAGCAGATTATCAGTTATGTCTTTCCTGTAGCTCACACATCAAAAGTCAACACACAGTTGAAAAGCAGAGAAAGAGAGTATCACTGCTCATGAAAGTGCCTACCAACTTGTTTGTTTGTTTTTTATTCTAATGAAAGAAAGTTTGTAATCTGAGCCATCTCAACAAAAACGGATCCAATGCGAATTTATCTTTAATTTAAAAAGAAATCTGTTGGATGACACATCATGTCACTAATAATTACCAATTAAAAAAATTAAACTAAAACCATTATTACTATTTATTATTTTATTTGAAACATTTATACTGTTCACTGTATTTTTTTTATTATTTAATAATATTTTTAAAATTTTTAAATATTTATTATGAAAGTTTCGTAACATTAAACTTTAATTTAAAAAAAAATTATATTTTTAGTCAGAAAATATTTTTTATTTGATTTTAGTTCTATTTTTTTTTTGTTTTGTTTTGATCACTTTGTTATTTACTTTTTTTCTTTGGTTTTTTAATTAAAAATTTTAAGACAAAAAGATATTTAAAAAATAATTTACAAAATAAGTTTTTAGTTAAAAATATGAATAGAGATAAATAAATGATATTTTTAATAAAAAAATATGAAAATATAAAGAATAATTAGTCAAATAGAAAATTTTGATTAAAAATGATAAAATTGAATGAATTTTTATTTAATTTTGATTCGATATATTTTGATAAACGCACAAGTACAACACAAGATATTAAAATGAAATAATTTTTTAAAAATTAGTTTATGTATTTACACCGTGGATAAAAAAAACTAGTGAAATCTAAACTACGAGAGTGGTTGAACTGTTAATTTGAATCAAATATTAAAAAAATTAAATTGAAATTTGAGAATGTAAAAATACGACTATTATAACTTTAATTGTAGTTTAAGAATATAAACTATTTAGAAATTAGAAATTTCAAACCGATTTAAATCCTTTCATTTTGTTAGAAATAATTAATTTCTTAAATTAAAATAAAGTTAACAAAAAGATGAAATTAAATTATAAATCAAGTATAAATCGATGAATTCATGATGAAAAAAATGGAGAAATACAATAAAAATTCATAGAAGAGTAGATGGACATCTTTATTCATGAAAGAGTAGATGGACATATGTAATCATTAATCCGTTTGTAATAACCACTACCCGCGAATTTATATCTTTTTATATTCTTTTAGAAATATGATCATAATGATCCTTAAATCAAAATTATTAAATTCAAATTGAACAGATATGATTAGTGTATGATAGAAATAATAAAAAAGTTTAATTATTATTTTATTTTTAGTTAAATTGTTAACATAGCATATCATATCAAGTTATTAAAAAAAAAACACATTAAGAGGGTCTAAATCCATTACGAACGGTACATGACGCACATGGCATTGGTAGCCAATGTCTGTCCCGTTACATGATGCGCGTGCATTCTATTGCAAGTTTAAAAAATGAAAAGAACTTTGAAGGGGCAGGTAGGATAGGAAAGAAGACAGAAATGGACCATGGTTGATTGGTATAGTTTAACGGATGATTCCATTTGCTTTTTTTTTTTAATATGTTTATGGTGCATCAATATAGCAATATTATGTATCCAAGATTATTGACTTAATTGAAAATGACTCTAATCATTTAAAAAATCATAGGATTGCTGCTGTTGTTTCTTTTTTTTTTTTTTTTTAATAATTTAGGGTGTTCGAGTCGGTTTGTGCGCATCACGATTAATCTCCGGACCCATTAAACACCCTATAAGCCCAACGAGCAAGTCAAGTACCGCGGGGGTGACGGACGTGCACAAAAAGAATCGAACCCGAGTGATCATTGAGAGACAAGTCCTAAATCGTTAGGTTATAACCTCAAGCGTCTGCTGTTGTTTCTTGATCTACGGGCTTGCTTTGTTTGTTGTCTCCTTTCTGCGTTGAAGCTGACCCTACTCTTATGCCAATGCTCCACCTCTATCTATTATTCTCTCCAAACTATTGTTGACCTTAAAGCGAAGCTTTCTCTTTAATAAATTTTAAGGATATCAAAAATCAAATTAAAAGTTGAGAGATTCAATATCAAATGAATTAAAGTTTCTATCAATTAGGAAGGGGATTGATGTTTACATTTGGAGAATTTATGGCCTCTTTGAATAAAATCCACCCTTAACTGATCAATCGATGACCTAACTTTTTTCTTGAAACCAACACAGTTTTTAATGTTGTGGCCAGGCGCACCGTCGTGATATTTGCATGCTTTGTTAGGTTTATACCATCATGGGTGGGTATGAAGGTTACTAAACTCTTGCTATTTTGTGTTTTTTGAATTTATTGACATCTACGGAGGAATTCTAATATCTTAATTTTGATATAGTATTTCATTGACTTCTAATAAAGATACACTTGAGCTAAAAAAAATTTGACTAGGAAAATGGTTCTCGTCTCATTTCGAGGAGAAAACTATTTAATTTTCATGAAAAAAAAAACATGAGGAAAAGTAATGAAATTTATTTTTTTATCAATGCTTTTTAAATTGTTTTTTTTAAAAAAAAAACTAAGTAAAATATTTCTAACTTTTATTTTTTCTTTATTTCTTTGATTTTTTAAGTCCTCATTCTTTTCTTTCATTTTTGCCCTCTAATTTCTTTCTTCTAGCTTTTCTCTCTCTCTTTTTCTCCTGTCTTTTTTTGTTGTTATTCTTTTTTTTTTTTTTATCTTTTCTTTTGTGCAACTCTCTTCTAACTTTTCAACCTTTTTTTTTCTTTTTCTTTGGTTATTTTATTTTTGGTTTTTTTTTAGCCTTTTATTTTTTCTTCCTATTTTTTTTTTCAACTTGCTCTTGCTAAAATCAAAAATAAAAATAAGAGATAAAAAATTGGGTGATAATAATTGTTCCTTCTTTACAATATTTACGACATAAAGTCATTGAAATGTGTGTGTGTGTGTGCGCGCGCGCGCGAGGGCTTTGCATAACAAGTTTTGTAAAGAAAAGAAAACAAATAAAACACAAGTAGAGGTTTAACTCTTTTAGCCTTCTTTTAAAACAAAGCCTTAGGTTTGAATTTCCAAGAATTTAGAAGTAAAACGATCTTCATTTATAATCTCTCATTTTCAATCAATTTGTATTCTCGGAAGAGATTATATTCGCAATCCAAATTTGGTTAACATTCCATAATCCCATGTACTCGGCTTTATCAAATCATAATATCATGTGTTAGAAAATAATATAAATTATTTTTTGATATTTTATCTAATAATTTAAGTTTTGGGGTTGAAATAGTTTTTTAACTTAATGTTAGAGTGTGGTTGATCAACGGTTATGAATTTAAATCTCACCATCAAGTCATTTGATATAAGATAATGATTTGTCTATTGAAGTTACTTGATAAAGAATAATATAAATCATATTGATTATAATACCTCACTCAATATGTTAATCTCATCTTGAGGGAACACTAGATAAAAGCATAATAACAAAAGTCAATGTGAGAATAGCAATCAATCTATCACAAAATCTTACTTAATAACTTAAATTTTTAGATCGAGATGTTTTTTAGACACCATTAGACATAAGTTCCTCTTGCATATTTGTCTACAATACACATAAATTGAATGATGGTGAACAAAAATTAAAACCATATGTTTTTTCCTCTTACACTGCCATTATTTAATGTCTCTGAAATACATAAATATATAGAATAATATTAGTTAAGATACTGTCAAAGTGAGTTATAAAATTAGGCATGGCGTAGTCTCGGATATGATAGGCTTTTTCCATGCAAATCTGTTTTCGAGTTCCTATAAAACAATTATTAAAAGTGATAAATGACGTCACAATGAAAAAAAAATACACATTTTTGTATCTTATTTTTACAGCACTATAAATGATTTTAAATGACAAAGACAAATTATTACCTTCTCATAGAGCTCTTTTATGTGGTTGCAATCAGTCCTTATTGGTCAGCAATATGTATGCACTCTGTAAATAAAAGTTAATTATGCTTTGTTTAGAGCATAGCAAAGACATCAAATTAAGTTAAACAAGCACTCACATTTTCTTCTCTCTCTCTCTTTTTTTTTTTATGGTAGAGACGATTTTATTTTATTTTTTTACCAAAAAAAAAAAATTCCTAGGAATATGTGCAGCCAAAGCAGATACAAAGGGAATCATGGAAAAATAATGTGCAAATCTCGTAAAAGTCCCCACTCTGTACATGGGGTAATCTCAATTAGGTCACCAACTTATTTTTCGTCTCAATTAGATCTTCAATATATCTATAACATATCAATAAATTTTTAATCAGATTCTTCCATCATCAATTTCAGTTAACAAAACTATTAAATATTCACATAAAACAAGTGAAACTTACAAAACTATATGAAGAAACATAAAAACCATATGGATTTGGAATTTTTTTTTTTTTTTTTAACGAAAGTTAATTGTTTGCTGATGTCCTAGC